CTACTATTACTACTACTTTTACCACTACTACAACAATTTACCCTTCTCGCGTACGTACTCGTAACGAAATATAGCGATAAGCAAATAAAATTGTGCACACAATAGAGTGACTCCGGTCCTCTTTCTCTGCTTTTACCGTCGGGTACCGGGAACGTTGTCGCAACCCTCCCTCCTACCCTCTTTTACCTCCCTCTTCTCATTCCACAATTCCTTCCCTTCCCCTTAACCCCCTTTTTCACCCATAGTACTATCTCCGACGGCCATAAAGCGCAAAAGCAACGCTTTGCGAAAGTTTTATTATTTCCATTTTTACGATCCGCCCGGGTAACTCACCACTTCGACCTCATATTACACACAACCCTAACACCCACCCCCATACATGCATATACACATATATATATGTATATATTAACGATTCGTAGATACTATTAACTCTCTTCTCGATATACGAAAACATTTTATAAGAACATGATAGAGAAAAGTTTATCCATCGTTCAAAACGAGAATTATTTCGAACATCGGCAGAGTATAGTTTTAGTAATTTGACATAAACGAGAATCTACGCTCGTCTAACGCTAATCGTATCGATATTATCGAGTTGATTCTATTATTTCCCATAAAACTAACAAACGATATATTATAGAAGTCGAATAGTTTAACAATCATACGAATTTATATAATCGTTATGTATATTGACGTATGTATTATTACAACACGTATTACTTGTTAACGAATAAACGATGCCGATTTAATTATCGTTTGAAATATTATACAAGATTGTTAAGTATCATCATACACAAGTGTTTAAGATTTTTATTTTACGATTTAACTTTTGTATTATTCCTGATCTATCATCGTATTATTTTATCTTATTTGTCTCCTTTTCTTTTTTTTTTTTTTTATTTTCTTAATAGTTTGCGTCATAGATCGGTTAACGCGAATTTATTCTCGCGAAAGATTTTTCTTTTATTTAGATTTATTAATAATCGTTAAAATATTGTATTTTATATATTATGTTGTCGTTGTTGTTATTCAATAATTTTAATCAAAATTTTGTTTAACTAATTGTCACATCATTTATTGACCGAATCAAATATTATTTAAATTATTTTTCTTATTATTATTTTATTATAATATCACGATAATTCTGATATTATTTATAAAAAAATTCTAATTGTTATTAATTATAAAATATTGAAGAAGAAAAATTGCAAAAACAAATTCTAACCGAATAATTATCTTGTTCTCGGTAATAATACAGAATTCAATAGTTTTCACATGATAATTTACGTAATTGAGCTTATACGTTCATATATATATAATAAAAAAAAAACAAAGACCTGTTAGATGTATCTAAAAGTTTCATTTATCTACATTTTTGTCAAAGAACGAATGAACGTTAGGACGATAACGACTTTGACGACATTACAACCGAGTTGCGACTAATTGTTGGAGCTACGTAATTACTCAATAAACATCCTGTTAATATCACTTTTGTCCTACGTAAGTGCATACGTATAAAATATACATACATACGTTTTTATATATAAAACAAGAAGAGTCGTGTAACACACTGGTCTTCCTTCCGACAATACCCCCTCCTATTTCGCGAAACCACGATTTTCCACGAGCACGGACACACTTCCGTTCGAATCCGTTCTCCTTCCGTTCGTATTATGAACGAATATTACACGTTTACAATTAACCACGTGAAAGAAATGAAATAAAAAAAAAAGAAGAGAGAAAAAAAAACAAAATAATAATAAAGAAAAAAAATGTATATATATATATATAATATTTTATTTATATAAATTTATATTTTATCAAATATATGAATTCATGAATTTC